AAAACAACTAGTTAACACTATTTGGGGGCCTAGATTATATGTATGTACTTCTCTGATGGTCCAGCTTACTATGAGGATAAAATCTAGAATGTAGAGGAACGGAGGGATTACCTCTCATGTCAGACTGAAAAACAGATTCGGGGCACCTGGGTGGCTGAGTCAGTTTGAATGGCTGACTCTTCATTTTGGCTCAGGGTGTGAGATCAAGCCCTGGGTGGGGCTCTGTGCTCAGTGGGGAGTCTGCTTGAGATTCTCTACCTCTGCCCCTCCCCCCTCAAATAAATAAATCTTTACGAGAAGAAAAGATTCAACAGGTTGTATTCTCTAGCAAGAATCGTTTAGGTGCTTTACATTTCCGAGTAAGGGCAAGTCAAGAACAAACATATGGAACTTAAAAGGCTAACCAAAACTTTCAGCATAGTTGTTATCCTGCTTCTGTCTTAGAAGTATGATTGAAGGAGTACCAGCAGGTAAAAGAAGGATTTCTTCTTTTTTTTTAAGATTTTTTTTTTTTTTAATTTATTTGACAGAGAGAGACACAGCGAGAGAGGGAACACAAGCAGAGGGTGTGGGAGAGGGAGAAGCAGGCTTTATGCGGATCAGGGAGCCCGACGTAGGGCTCGATCCCAGGACCCTGGGATCACGACCCGAGCCGAAGGCAGCCACTCAATGACTGAGCCACCCAGGATTTAAGAGATTTAAGAGAAGGATTTCTCTTAAAAACACTTTCATTCACTATAATTCATGACAGTGATTGATCAAAATTCTTATGTTGTTGGATGTAAGAGATTATTTGAGCCTGGGGGCGCCTGGGTGGCCCAGTTGTAAAGCGTCTGCCTTCAGCTCAGGTCATGATCCCAGGGTCCTGGGATCGAGCCCCGCATCGGGCTCCCTGCTTTGTGGGAAGCCTGCTTCTCCCTCTCTCATTCCCCCTGCTTGTGTTCCCTCTCTTGCTCTGTCTCTCTCTGTCAAATAAATAAATAAAATCATTAAAAAAAAAGATCATTTGAGCCTGGAGAAAGTTTGAAGGCAAGTCTTTTAGAGACCAGTCACACCTGGAAACAGAAAACCATGGAACTTCTTGTATTCAGGAAGGTAGCTTCTTAGTAAAACTTCCCAGATGAATTTATTGTGAAACGTGCCCTCACAGTTTAAAAACTTAACTTTCCTTCTGAATTTTTGAATGTAAAATTTTTTTTAAAAAGATTTTATTTATTTATTTGACAGAGAGAGGCACAGCGAGAGAGGGAATGCAAGCAAGCGGGGGTAGTGGGAGAGGGAGAAACGGGCTTCCCTGCCAAGCAGGGAGCCTGATGCAGGGGTTGATCCCAGGACCCTGAGATCATGACCTGAGCCAAAGGCAGACACTTAACGACTGAGCCACCCAGTCATCCCTCAATTTTTGAATGTAAATTAACTAAACTCTGTTGGATATGTGCTCAGGGGAAAAAAAGATTAGTTTTAGATCAACTGATATTAAGCCATATACAATATAATATAATAATTCTATTTCATATTACTTGGCATTATGTAGACTGTCAGAAGGTTGGTCCTGCTGATCCAAACTCATAGTACTTATACATTCTGTATAAGCATCATTGATTAGAAATCTATGATGAACTGATCCTGTTTACAGAGACAAGATTTGGGGAAAGATCACTATCAAATAGTAACATTTTAGGGAATCCAAAGGATTGGTGAATGGGAGCTACTATCTATTGAGCTGTTTACTACCTAAAATGTAATGGGACTTACCTCATTAGCCTTGACAACATCCTTTTGAGGTAGGTTTTGTTTTCCCATTTTACATAAGAGGAAAGGCTCAAGATTATTTTCCTAAGGTCACATGTAGTAATGATCTGGAATGCTTGACTCCAAAGCTTATCTTCCACTTTATTGATCTGCCTTCTAGGAAGCCAGAAGGGAGAGAGAGAATTTCATTGAAAGAGATAAGATTGACCTTAAATTAATTTCCCAGTCTGTGTTTGCCTTGTTTTAATAATGTCACAATATATTCTGGGTGTCACTTTACCTAGTATGGTTACATTAATCAATGCTATTGCAGAGCCATCTAAAAGTTTACAAATTATTTCTAAAAGGAAACCTATTACGGGTGCCTGGGTGATGCAGTTGGTTGAGTACATGACTCTTGACTTTGGATCAGGTCATGATCTCAGGGTTGTGGGATCGAGCCCCATGTCGGACTCTGCACTCAGCTCAGTCTGCGTGTTCTTCTCCCTCTTTTCCTCCCCTTGCTCACGCTGTCTCTCTCTTTCTCTCAAATAAATAAAATCTTTTTTTTTTTAAAGCTCTCTGGATGATATTTACGCCTTCCCAAGTTTGACAAGCATGTCTTTTTAAGATTTTATTTATTTATTTGACAGAGACATAGAGAGAGAGGGAACACAAGCAAGGGGAGCGGGAATGGGAGAAGCAGGCTTCCCGCCAAGCAGGGAGCCCGATGCGGGGCTCGATCCCAGGACCCTGGGATCATGACCTGAGCCGAAGGCAGACGCTTAACAACTGAGCCACCCAGGCGCCCATAAATAAATAAAATCTTAAAAAAAAAGAAAACCTATTATAATTACAAACAGTACTTAAGATTTATTAAAAGTCTATCTCTAAGCAAAATAAGCCAGTCTCCAAAGACAAATACTGTATGATTTCACTTACATAAAGTACTTAGTGTAGTCAAATTGGAGAGACAGAAAGTAGAATGGAGGTTGCCAGGAGCTGGGGTTGGGGGGAAGGGAAGGAATGGGGAGTTATTGTTTAGTGGGTGTAGAATTTCGGTTTTTCAGGATGTAGAAAGTTCTTGGGACACCTGGGTGGCTCAGTCGGTTAAGTGTCTGACTCTTGATTTTGGCTCAGGTCATGATCTTAGGGTCCTGGGATTGAGCCCTGTGTCAGGCTCAGTGTTTAGTGGGGAGTCTGCCTGAGAATTCTATCCTTCTCCCTCTGCTCCTCCCCCTGAGCTTGTTCCTCCCCTCCTTCCTTCTCTCTCTCTAAAAATAAATAATTATAAAAAATAAATCCTTAAAAAAAAGGTGTTGAAAGTTCTAGAGATGAATGGTGGTGATGGTAGTACATTATGAATGTAAGTAATACAGCTGAACTACACTTTTAAAAATAGTTAAGATGGAAAATTTATGTTACATGTATTTTACCACAATTAAAAAAATTAGGGGGGAGCCTGTCTTTAAAGATGGACTTTTATGCTTAGGACAATTTATGGAGATTACATTTTTCCTAGGATGTGTTGTCTTCACATTTTGCATAATAGATTGTGTTTGTTTTATATAATGTTTTAAAGTTTTTATGTACATAATTTCATGTAAGGTATTGATGTAGGCAGAAATGATAAGTGAAATGTCATTAAGCAAATATATTAATCATGACATTGAAGAGATCCTTTGTGTTATACTTCAACTAGAAATACCTAAGGAACTTTATTTTTTTTTTACAAAAAAATTATTTTAAGTTTTATTTTGGCTAGTCCCAGCTTAGAAGGAAAGTGTTTTATGTTACCTAAAGGAAAATTATTTTTGTCAACTTTAAATTTGAAAACTAATAAAAAATCTGTGAAATGTTGAAACAGTCAACCTTTTGTTTTTGAAAGGTATTTTTAAAGACACAGGGATGCTATAATAATCAACTTTCTTGTTCTAGGGGCGCCTGGCTGTCTCAGTTGGTAGAACATGGGACTCGATCTTGGGGTTATGAATTTGAGCCCCATGGTGGTTGTAGAGATTATTTAAAAATAAAATCTTAAAATAATCAAGTTGCTTGGTCTAAATTAATACGCTCATCCTTTAATTCAGGTTTTATTTGCTAAAAAATCAAAACATACAAATGGTAAATCCATCTCTTTCTAAAACTTATCAGTGGTAGAAAACAGTGATATAAACAATTGAAAAAGCACTGGAAATGTGTCTGTAAGTATATTCTGAATGTGAGAGGTGTGGGGTGTCATATTTGTATTCAGTATTTTAGATGAAATGTTGAGGCAGGAGAAATTAGTAGATTTTATTTTATTTATTTATTTATTTATTTTAAAGATTTTATTTATTTGACAGAGAGAGACACAGCAAGAGAGGGAACACAAGCAGGGGGAGTGGGAGAGGGAGAAGCAGGCTCCCTGCTGAGCAAGGAGTCCGATGCAGGGCTCGATCCCAGGACCCTGGGACCATGACCTGAGCTGAAGGCAGACGCTTAACGACTGAGCCACCCAGGAACCCCGAAATTAGTAGACTTTAAAGCATCTTGTCTCATTTTCTCCTTCAATGCTCTTCCCCCTTGTTCTCCATTCTGTGCCCCAGACCAAGACCTTCTTTTCCTTTTACTACATGATAATAGCTTGTGACCAGTATTTTTGGTATACCCATAGTTCTCTTAAGTTGGAGGATATAAATCTTTTGAGGATAATAGGCCTTCTCTTGAGCTGCAGTTTGCATGAAGATGTGAAGATAAGGGACCATGAATATCAATTTTTGAAGACATTTATTACTTATCGAGACAACTTTTCAGGTTTCTTTTTCTATTATCATGTCAAAAATGTTTCTGAGATATTTCCTTCCTGGCTTCCCAACTAGAAGATGAGGAGGACACAGCCTGGATTAATGATCTTTTTTTAAAGATTTTATTTATTTATTTGAGAGAGAGCGAGAGCATGCACAAGTGGAGGGGAGGGGCAGAGGGAGAGGGAGAAGCAGAACTCGGGGCTCAATACCAGGACCCTGGGACCATGACCTGAGCCAAAGGCAGACACCCAACCAACTGAGCCACCCAGGCGCCCCTGGATTAATGATTTTATATTCAGACTGACCTGAGTTTGATTCACAGCTCCTCCATTGTGGTGGTCTAACCTACCCAAGCTTCAACATCCTCATCTTTAAGTATCTCTGAGCCCAGTAGCCTTGATAATGAGTTTTGATTTGTATTTTCTGACTTAAATAGTTAAAATACTACCCATATTCTAATGGCTTCTCTCTCTCTCATAGCTTCACAACCTCTGGATCAAGAAGTTTTATTAAAAGTTAAAAGTGAAATTGAAGAAGAGCTAGAATCCCTGGACAAAGAAATTTCTGAAGGTCTGTTTATTCTTATTTTCCTAGTTACTTAGTAGACTCAGTTTGGTGTGGTTTACTGTTGCTTTGATATTTTACAGTAGAACATTCTCAACATTACACAGATTCATTGGTATAGGATTATAAAGGTGAAACTAGAAGGGATCCTTTTTCTTTCCTAGGGGATAGGTTTATAAATGTTTCCAAACCATACCTGACAGCCTTTTCCTGGTGTTAAGTAATATACTGAACAGTCATGTTAAGGTACTTTCCATTTAATGTCATTTGATTTGTATTGGTGTTTTTTTAATTAATAACAACATTAGAGGGGAAATTGTAAGTAAGTTGCTTCCATTTTTGCATGGATGTATGCTATAGATAGTTGTAAGAGTAATATACATGTAATTTTGTGGGGGGTGGGTGCTAGCTGCTTGCTTTACTGGGATTCTATGCCCTGTATCCCACTGAACAACAATGATTCTGCCTGTTCTTCCCCCAGTTAGAGCATGGCAGTATAACATGGAGTAAGGAAGCAGATGAGAAGTTGGTATTTGGAGCTGAGGAGAGAGAAGCTGTGGTTGCTTCTTTCATGTGCAACATTTTATACTCGTATCACCTTCATAGTTTAAACTTTATCCATGGGGTGCCTGAGTGGCTCAGTCAGTTAAGGGTCTGTCTTCAGATTGGGTCATGGTCTTCGAGTCCTGGGATCAAGCCCCGTATCGGGCTTCCTGCTAGGAGGGGAGTCTGCTTCTCTCTCTCTCCCTCTGCCTCTCCCCACCGCTTGTTTTCTCTCTCTCTCTCAAATAAATTAATAAAATCTTTAAAAAATAAAAATAAAATTTATCCATATGCAGGACTATTGAGTTTGAAGGTTCATTTAAAAAAGGGAGTGAGATATCAGGAGCAAGATGGCAGAGGAGTAGGAGACCTAAATTTTGTGGTCCCAGGAATTCAGCTGGATAGGGATCAAACCATTCTGAACACCTACTAACTCAACAGGAGATCGAAGAAAAGAATAGCAGCAACTCTCTGAACAGAAAAGCGACCACTTTCTGGAAGGTAGGATGTGCGGAGAAGTGAATCCGAGGCAATATTTGGGAAGATAGATGGCGGGGGAGGGGGCCTCCATCAGCCGCTACCGGCAAGTGATAGAGCCGCGGAGCTTTTAGAAGTCGCTCCAGTGGCTACGTGGCTGAGGGAACGTCGCTCCAGTGGCTAAGTGGCGGGTGGAACCCTCGCTGGGACAGTGTGGTCTCAGGACCCTCGGGGCCACAGAAAGACCGGGGGTGCCTGAGTGCGGCAGAGCTTCCAGGAATCGGAGCAGGGAAGCCGGCTGCGGAGACGGAGCTGAGGAGCGGGCTCTCAGCTTGGGGTTGCTATAAACTGTGATCCACGGCACATTCGGTCCACTGCTCCTCCAGCAGGGACCCAACAAGCGGCAGAGCGGGGGAGACCCCCCTTCCTCCCCCGGGAGGAGCAGCAAGGGAGCGGACTGCAGGGATCTGCTGGGTTTGGAGACTCCACACGGGGTTGGGTGCCAGAGATAGAAACGCTCGGTCACAGGCCGGGTGAGCACGGAGTGCGTCCCGAGACCCGGGAGACAGGAGTGATTGACTGTTTTTCTCTGGGCGCTCACTGAGGAGTGGGGCCCCGAGTTCTCGGCTCCTCCAGGTGGAGATCGGGAGGCCACCATTTTCACTCTCATCCTCCAAAGCTGCCCGGAAAGCTTGCAGGGAACAAAAACTCCCGAGAGCAAACGCGAGCAGATTACTTACCCTGGACCAGGGAGGGCGGGGCAATTCCGCCTCCAGCAAAGACATTTGGGAACCACGGCAACAGGCCCCTCCCCGAGAAGATCAGCAAGGACAGCCAGCCAAGACCAAGTTTACCGATCAATGAGAATGGCAGAATGCCAGCGCTAGGGGAATACCGCACGTAGAATCCATGGCTTTTTTCCCTCTGATTCTTTAGTCTTTCAAAGTTAATTTTTTTAATTTTCTTTTTTTTTGAATTTTTCTTTTTCCCTTTTTCAACCAATATCTTATCAATCTCTTTTTTTAAAAATCATTTTTATTTTTCATTTTTAGAGTCATATTCTATCCCTTCATAGTAGTTAACCTTATTTTTGGTATATATATATAAGTTGTTCTCTCTTTAAAATTTTGGGATAGAGTTTCTTCTTTTTTTTTTTTTAAAGTTATATTGAGTTTTTATTGGTGATTCTAAGTATATGTGTTTATAACAGTTAAAGTGTGATAGGTGAATTCAACATATTAAAAAGGAGTTCTAGAGCATCTGTTCAGAAAAGATTATATATTATACAAACTATTCAAGTCATACAAAACCATTTTTTCAGTGTCTTTTCAACTGAGAAGAATCCTATTCAGCACGCTTCTCCTCCTGAGGTGGTTCATACTGAGCAAGCTTTGTTTTCAGTTTTTTATTTTCTTCTATAATAGCTTCATATTTCTCTTTCATTTCTGCCAATTCTAGGCGAAGCAGCTCTATTTCTGGATTTTCTGGGGTAGCAGCTCCTAAGTGATGCTTTAAAAAACCTTGGTCAGTGTGTCCAGCACCCCTGACTTCTCCAAGTACCTCTGGAACTGCTCGTGTTTCCAGTCGGCGGGTTTGTAATGGGCCATAGTGACAGCGGCAGTGGCGTAGCTGGTGCCTGAGACTGTGGCTGGCGGGCTCTGGGATACAGTTTCTTCTAACAGACCAAAATACACCCAAAATCTAGTGTGTGGCACTGATCTATGCACTAGCCTGATCATATTTGATCATATTCTGTTTGTTTTGTATTGTTCTGTTTTTTTTTTTTTTTAATCTTTTTCTTTTTCTTTTCTTTCTTTCCCTTTCTTTTCCCCTGGTTTCAGGTCTCTTCTGATTTGTTTAGTGTATATTTTTTGGGGGTCATTGTTACCCTGTTAGCATTTTGTTCTCTCATTCATCTATTGTCCTCTGAACAAAATGACAAGACGGAAAAAATCACCTCAAAAAAAAGAACAAGAGGCAGTACTGACTGCCAGGGACCTAATCAATACGGACATTAATAAGATGTCAGAACTAGAGTTCCGAATGACGATTTTAAAGATACTAGCTGGGCTTGATAAAACCACGGAAGATATTAGAGAAACTCTCTCTGGAGAAATAAAAGAACTCAAATCTAACCAAGTTGAAATCAGAAAAGCTTTTAATGAGGTGCAATAAAAAATGGAGGCTCTAACTCCTAGGATAAATGAGGCAGAAGAGAGAATGAGTGATATAGAAGACCAAATGATGGAAAATAAAGAAGCTGAGAAAAAGAGAGATAAACAACTACTGGATCATGAGGGCAGAATTCGAGAGATAAGTGATACCATAAGACGAAACAATATTAGAATAATTGGGATTCCAGAAGAAGAAGAAAGAGAGAGAGGGGCAGAAGGTATATTGGAGCAAATTATAGCAGAGAACTTCCCTAATTTGGGGAAGGAAACAGGCATCAAAATCAGGAGGCACAGAGAACCCCCCCTCAAAATCAATAAAAATAGGTCAACACCCCAACATCTAATAGTAAAACTTAAGAGTCTCAGAGACAAAGAGAAAATCCTGAAAGCAGCTCAGGACAAGGGACCTGTAACCTACAATGGTAGAAACATTAGATTGGCAACAGACCTATCCACAGAGACCTGGCAGGCCAGAAAGGACTGGCATGATATATTCAGAGCACTAAACGAGAAAAATATGCAGCCAAGAATACTATATCCAGCTAGGCTGTCATTGAAAATTGAAGGAGAGATAAAAAGCTTCCAGGACAAACAAAAACTAAAGAAATTTGCAAACACAAAACCAACCCTCCATGAAATATTGAAATGGGTCCTCTAAGCCAAGAGAGAACCTAAAAGCCGCATGGACCAGAAAGGAACACAGACAATATACAGTAACAGTCACCTTACAGGCAATACAATGGCACTAAATTCATATCTTTCAATAGTTACCCTGAATGTAAATGGGCTAAATGCCCCAATCAAAAGACACAGGCTATCAGATTGGATTAAAAAACAAGCCCCATCGATGTGCTGTCTGCAAGAGACTCATTTTAGACCCAAAGACACCTCCAGATTGAAAATGAGGGGGTGGAAAACCATTTACCATGCTAATGGACACCAAAAGATAGCTGGGGTGGCAATCATTATATCAGACAAATTAGATTTTAAACCAAAGACTATAATAAGAGATGAGGAAGGACACTCTATCCTACTTAAAGGGTCTGTCCAACAAGAAGATCTAACAATTGTGAATATCTATGCCCCTAACATGGGAGCAGCCAACTATATAAGCCAATTAATAACAAAAGCAAAGAAACACATCGACAACAATACAATAATAGTAAGGGACTTTAACATACCCCTCACTGAAATGGACAGATCATCTAAGCAAAAGATCAACAAGGAAATAACGACTTTAAATGACACACTGGACCAAATGGACTTCACAGATACATTCAGGACATTCCATCCCAAAGCAACAGAATGCACATTCCTCTCTAGTTCCCATGGAACATTCTCCAGAATAGATCA